CGGCCGACCCGGCTTATTTCTGGAGTTTTCTTTCCTTTTTCCACGAAGACTCCTCAAAGGCGCTACTTCGGTAAAGAAAATTCTGCTTGACGTTTTGTAAAAGTTTGCCAATTTCGTAAAACACGTGTCACAGACGCACGTGGCTGGTCAAGAATCAGTAAAATCCACAAATAAATAATTTTTATTAATTTTGCCAAAGCACTAAAATCAAATTAGAAATATCTCAAAAAAATTTCATCCCCCCGCCTGGGTTAAAAATAATTTTCAAAACTCACCCCCACTCGCTCCTCATCCGCTCCAGTGACCTTTGACACGTCCAACCTACATTCCGCCGGTAAACTTGGACAGCGCGAAAAGAGAAACACGAAATTTTACCCGGAAGCGTGAGTATAAGAAACGTTAAGAGAAATCAGTGCCCGCAAAGATCAAGAGAGACAAGGCAAAAGAGAAAGAAAATTTGAAGAAAAAAACCGCCTTCGATCCATTACAACTCGTTACAGATTTGACCCGTGGATATTTTAATGCCTCCACCAGTACCAAATATTTCATACGATTCCTCAACTTTGATCTCACGGTACCTACTGCAACCTAACCCAACCTATCCGACGCTCGTGTATCCATCGGTCCTCAGCAGAAACCCGTGAAATCACAATCATTTCACTTTCGACAAAAGCGAAAAAGAAGCTGGGCACGTGTCCGCGCGTTGACCCACCAGGGCCGTGGGATTGATTCGAATGATTGTCCTAGGGGCCCCCACGTGACACTCCTCGTCCTAGTGGACTATCGAACCCTCTCATTGCGGATCACTGAACTCTGCCGATACTTCCACTTCGTGGAAGTGGAAAAACGAAGCGTAACTCCGTCGAAGCGGATTTGTGTAACGACCTATACCTATGGGCTACGGGCAATATCCCTTACCTTTTCGGGTTTCCGCATTCGCGCAAAACGGAAGTACAAGATGAGTTTTTCATTGGGTTCGCTGAATCGGTCCAAAAAAAAAAATAAATATGGATAATTGAGATAAGATACATATATCGGGTGAAAAGTTGTAAAAAAAAATTTTTTTCTATATTTATCGTAAATACTATATTTTTATAAAATTACGTAATTCTGACTTTTACCAATCTGTATCGTATCTACTATCCACGTACGTATACCGTGTGTACATAGTGTTAAGGTTCAATAGAACTTTCCCGGAAGTGTTGCATGGCGTGACAGTATATATATATATATACAGCGAACAACTACATTACGCACAACGGTAGTTTATCGGTACACGATATTATCGTTCAATTGGAAAGCCAGTACACGTTACGTGTCAATTATTTCTTAGAACGTACATTCTTTCGGATAAAACACCCTGTATAGATTTCACTCGGTAAGTTAACGTGGGATACACGTGTTTTACGGGTACAAAAAAATTTGACAGGAAATAAATTGCATTGAAAATTAAAAAAATTTCAATCAGCAGATTTGTCAATTAATTTGTATTTTAGGTAATAACGTGCACGCATCGAAGAATCTTTTCTCATGGTCCATAACGTGGACGAGTCCAGCATCCTCGTCGAATCCAGTGTTGGTGGGGAGTGATGGGACCGAAGGGACTCGGGGGGACTGGAGGACTGAACAGCCCGAGAGGTCTGAAGGGCCTGACGGATCTAAAGGGACCGAAGGTCGGCGATGTCTCGTGAGCGAGCGAAACGAACTCGGATTAGTCAAGGGCTGCGGGGGTTTGGCTGCCACCCGGCTTTTCGACTGGTATTCGTGTTAGAAAAAGAAAGAAGAAAAAAAGAAAGAAAAACTATCTTGGTTTCCTTAGTTACCCCGTTCCGTCAGAAACGAACCACGTGCCAAATAAATCCATCCAGCCCGAGAACAAGATGGCTATCAAATTCAGGACTGCCACTCGAATGGGATCATGAGAATGGTTTTCAGGGATTCCATGGAAGATCGCCAGATTCGATTGAATTGAAAAAAAAAGGAAGAAAAAAAAAAGAAAAATTTCAACAGCCACGAATTTTACTTCCTTTACCCATTGTCGATTTTCCTTGAATTTCCAATTTTCATATTTTCTCAATACGACCTTTGGCAGTTCGCATCTGCCGAGGAACTGTCGTTACGATCCCAATTTTTTTCATTTTCCGAAAATTTTGATTTTGAGGTTATACGTAGATTTTACGAAATTCAATAATCTCCTATGATGACCTTAGGTCGTTATCGTTGCCGGTTCGAATAGCATTTTTGGCTCTTGGAATTTTGGTCGAGGGCAACACCGAAACGAAACGAGGCGTTCCTTTATGTACGACAAGTCAGGGCCGTCGTGTGTTGTGACGCGTTGTGGCACGTCACCGTCATAATCGATTCCAGAGGGCCTGAACGCGTTCAATTGATCGAGATATTGTGGCTCGGGCAATTAGCGGCTCGCAGGCCGACAGCTGATTGACGCGCCGGCGCCTTCGCACTCGGGCCCCGACAACAGGGACGGGAGAAATGAGAAAAATAAAGAAATCAAAAGTACCTTCGCGCAGAGCCAATAGACCGAGGGAGACGGAATCGTCACGATGATAGTGAAGATTCGTGTACGGGATAAAAATTACAGTCAAACCAGTACATAGATTCAGAGTGATGTGTATGCATTGAAATATATTACTATACGACACTCATTCATTACATACTTGTCGCTCTTGGTACAAAAATACAATAATGATATAATACACTTTTTAGAAAAATTTGAAAAAAAATATATAAATATACTTATTCCTCAAATTGTATCGAACGATCATTTCGATCCGAGAATTTAAGCCTGAAGCACGAAATTCTAAATGCGGTCATGAATGCTTGGAATAGACTAAGGAAAAAAAAAGGATTCTAAAGAAACAGAAGACCAGAGGGACGAGTGAGCCTACGTATTGTTTCGGTCTGAGGGTAAATAAAAAAATGTACTGTCTAACCTAGTGAAAAACACTGTTACCAACGTTGGGCGAGGGATAAAGAACAAACGACAAAAAGAAAAATTACCAATACGTTTTGTATCCAGTAAACAGAATTGCAGGCGTTCGTTTGTGAAATTGAAGGGAATTCGATTCCCACCGAATGAATAAATACTATCTGTATTACTTACGTGTATATATATATATATAGACGCGTCCAATACGAAACTATCGTTATGGAATAATCCCATGAGCAATTCCCACAAGTTTTCATAGTCCTGTTGAACGAGTGACTTTATGCATCCTGTCTGAATATACTTTCTATATTCCCTGGGCTACTTGTGTATATCAGTTGAAAAAATCATTTTTCAAGTCAAGAACAGGAGTGGCACCAAGTCCCATACGAGAGTATAATATACACCTATGACGTATATATCTTTTGGTAATGCTGATAAAAAAAAATAATAGTCACTGTTATAGCTCTGAGTCTGGTATGTTAGGCTTCTGTAACTATTTTAAATATTACCAAAGCGAGGTTCCGGAGCTGCAGTCATTATCAGAAAATACAATTGTATCTAATCCGAAAATCTTTGATCTCTCGAGGCAGGTGAGAGTCTTTCTCGTTTCAATGACGATCGACGGTCCGAACGAGGATCGATAAATATTCATATTCGTGTCAAATAAATGTATTTCGAAATCCATTAGCCGTGTATTGATTGTTCGGGATTTTGAGTCGTTGGTTTTATTTGAAAAAAAATGCCTGCTACATCCTGCTTATTGTAATCATTTATGAAATTGAATTATGAAATTTTTGATTGCTCGTGAAATTTTTGTGAATATCCATTTTTTTATAACGATAGTACAGCTTTGTCGTAACAAGAGGATGAGAGAAAGATTATTGTCAAATTTGGATAATTTTTTTGGCAGTGAGAAAATATTGAGAAAAAAAATTGATTTAGTATTTTCAAAAAAAATAATTTTAATTTATCCATCAAAATCAATTAATACCGCCTAACAAATCTTGTACTAACCTAATCCAAAATTTTATCATATAATCGTACTATGGATATTATTTTTGAGCCAAGGATTATTATAAACCAAGTCCATTTTAATTCAGATCGAATAATTAATAATTAATATTCCATCCTCTTCCTCAAAATTGATGTCATGTAAATTGTTTATGCGGTATAAATAATTATTGCAAAAAGGCAGAAGTATTATCCTGAATCAAAAAAATGTTGACGGATAGCTCAAAATCTTGGATATCCTTGTTTCCATTGCACGTTGTAAGTTTGAATATTCAAAGGACAAATATTGGAAAAGATAAGAAATTCAAATATACTAAATCGCTTAGAGTATTTTTTTGTGTGAAGAAATATCGAGAGATTTTAATGTTTAATTTATACAAAGATGGAGGATCGTTCTTTAACTCTTATGAGAAGATAAGGTGAATTTTGCTTTTTCATTTTATTTTTTCCCCTCCCACTGTCCTTCTTTCCTTTTCTTTTTCTCTTTTTTTTTCTCCAGCAGTCGCCTTCGACTGTTGGATACGGCATTTCGAAGAACGATCATTCGTGAAGCCCTGCCGTTACTTTGGACATAATTCAAGGTCCATTTTAACCTGGTCTGGAGTCTTATTCTTGGACGGTTCCTCTTCAGGAATTTTACCTGGCTTGAACGAAAGACATAAACATGGACCAAGGGTGAAAAAAAACGGATGCTCGTAGATTTTGAGTAAAAATAAAAATTTACTGATAATTAAGTTAAGTGAAGTTATTCGTGTACTGTGCGAAAGAATGACGTCACGACGAATTGACATACACAAATTTTGTGCCAACTTGAAAAATTACGTGAAATGAAATTTTTATCAATATTCAGCTACCCCTTCTCATGGAAAATATCAAAGAATTAAATGACAGTGGACCCTGCTATGTATTTCCACTAAAAAAAAATTATTTTTAAGCAAAAAATATTTTTTTGTATGTAAATAATTTAAAAGGAACTATATACACATATGTATATACTAATCAGGATGGAGATAGGTAATGACAATTGAAAATAGACGTATGATTATTTTATACAAAAGAAACGTATTTATTCTCAATTTTCGTCTTGGTACTTGTAATATTATTTAATTTAATATAATAGTTCGTGAATAAAATGCGTTAGGTGATTCGATGGGCGTATTTACAACAATATAATAATATAGTAATAATAAATTCCTAGTCGTAATTTTAAACACGTATCCAGTTTGCCAGTAATACAATTAAATCGCTGCGCTCGATGAAGTCTGAGTGACACGTATTTACAAAAGTAGATACATTATGTACAGAGAATTTTCTTATAGCCTAATAAGCGTTAAGTGACAGTCGCGTTCGACAAGTCAGCAGTCTGTAGGAACGAGATATCCCGCGCGACAAGTCTTAATGCCGAATAACGAAGGATCGAATCGACAATGATGAAAAAATCGGCCAAACCAAAATCTACGAATGAGAGTCGCGTGTAGAGAGTCGTCTGCTTCGTTTGATTAAGTGAAATCATAAAATGATCGAATTTGAAGAAAAAAAACACCTCGTCTTTCCTACACTATGTAAATGCGAACTCTGTACCGAGCAAAGAATGCTAAACAAAGAATACAGTGACAACGGAGAAGAAGAAGACAAAAAAAATACATTTTTACAGTCGCAACTAACCTTGCGCCTGCGCGACTCCGTCACGGCCGATTTCTGCATTTCGCGGCGAGGAACTAAACGAAGTAAGTACGCGGGTTGGCCGGCAGAGGCGTACCGGACGGTGGCGCAGTGGGTACCGGTGGTTCCGGTATAGTACTGTATAAATGACTACCCCTGGACGATAAGCTAGCAGGACGCGCAGTGCTGGTATGAAGAGCACTGTAGCCTCCGTGATGCTGATGTTGATGCTCAGCACCGCTGTCCTCGTCCTCGGTGCGACTGGATGCCGAACTAACATAGGTTGACTGGGTGGGAGTCGGTGTGGGTGCGTGAACGGGCGCGACCAGGACGCCGTTCGGTTTGGTCCAGGAGTCAGCGGCCGACGGTGCTGCCGTATACCTGGCAGGGACCCTGTTCCTGTCATTGGTGACTTTCTTGCTATCGCGCCTCTTGTCGGCAGAGTCCGGCATGGCGAAGCGGAGCTTCTCCCAGAAGCGCTTCTCGCCCCAGACGATGACCGTGCAGGTCTGGAGAAGAAGCTGGAGTTCCGGGTCGCATGCCGGAGGCTCCGTGGCTAATAACAGGACGACCCTCCTCCTGCGGGAACCAGGCCTGATACTTTCCAGGGCACTCCTGAGCGCGGCCCTGAACTCCGGATGCTGCCATTCCCCAGCTAGGAAAACCGGCGAGAAGACTATGAGGATGCGCCTTGCCGCTGCCGCTGCTGGAGGTACGGCTTCCTGGGGCCTGGCCGGCGGCAGATCGCGCCAGTGGAGACAGAGAGCCAGTCCTGACTGCTCCAGCTCAGCAGCTAGACACCTGGAGACGAAGTCCTCGTCCCTGCCGCTGTAGACGATGTACCCGTCGTAAAGACGGTCCCTTTCCTCGTCCGGTGGTGGCGTCACCTTGCCTAACCTGAGCCCGTAGCGTGCATGGGCCCAGAGTCTGACATCCTGACGAAACGCGAATGCCAGGGCGACGAAGAGACACACGGCTATCACGGCCACCAGTGCGCCGGCCAGTAAAGGTACGAAGTTACCTCCCAAAAGAGGACTGTCCTGGGCACCGCGACTCACAGCCTCCGTTGCCGGGTCCCCGCAACGCTCCATAGCCTGTGCCAGGGTCTCGGCACCGTCCCGGCAGTACATCTTCTCGGGATCACCCCGATGCTCTGCCAGCCAGGTCCTGAGTCTAGCAGCATTGGCACATTCGCAGCTCCAGGCGTTGCCCTCGAGAGCCACCCTGGCGCCGGCACCGGCGCCGGCCAGGGCCTCCCAAGGTCTAAAGTCCACAATTCGGTTACTGTCCAATCTGAGGACCTCAAGTTTCTTCATCTTGTTAAACGTTGTATTGCCGACCGTAGCTATTGCATTATGATCCAAATACAATTCGGACACCCTCTCCAACTGGTCGAACTCGAATCCTCTTAGTTCACGTAGCGCATTGCCTTCGAGATGGAGTATTCGCAATGCTCCAGCACCGTTGAACGTCCTGTTGTGAAGAGCAGCGATTCCACTGTTGTTCAGGTACAGCACCTCCAGACGACGCTTCCCGATGAACACATGACTGCCCAGGTCACCAAGTTCGTTCCCATCCAGATAGATTTCCGTGGCATCCATGGGAATGCGCTCGGGAACGTGCTTGTAACCGGCGTTCGAGCAATCCACGACATTGCTGGACCAGATGTGATCGTGATAACAAGAACAATTGTCGGGACAGGTCATCTCGCAGTCACAGGCGTCGAAGTCGCAGCAATGACATAGAGCGAAGCAATGCGTCTCGTAGCGGCACAAAAAGTCTCTGGGCTTCAAAGACAGCAATGGCCGTTTAGGCGCAGCCCGTGCGTGCGCCATTTCGCAGGTGACCGAGTCCAGGTCCATGACTTTTGGATGCTGACGCAGTCGTGCCAATTCGTTGATACGCGGCAGCCACTCCATCGTGCAGTCGCAAAATATTGGATTGTCCCCGATATAAAACATTGGCAGTTCACGTTCAGCGGGCACCGGCTGAAGGCCCAGCGCTGCAACCTCAAGATGCTTTATTTCGTTCCCATAAAGAACGACCTTCTCGAGATTGGTCTTCTGCAAGAACGTACCCGCGGCGACGCTACGTATCTTATTATTGTTCAGATAAAGCGTCTCGACGCTGTCCGGCACGTTGGCGTCGGATATATCCGTAATGAGATTGAAACTCGCGTCCAAGTTTTTAATTCGCAAATTATTCCGCACCATATAATAATTCCCGAGTTCGTTCACTTGATTCGCGTGCATATCCAGCCACTCGAGGCTCGCCGGCAAGTGGCTATAGTCGAACCACAATAACTTATTGTCCGAAACGTTTAGCCAAACTAGGGTGGACAGACTCGTAAAAGCGCCGCGAATATCAGTCAACTGATTGCCGTCGAGTCTGATGGCACGTAGCATTGGGTTGCTGGCGAAAGCACTCTGCTCCACGTGGCGAATTGAGTTACTAGCCAAATTCAGTACCTGTAGAGCCGGAAGAGAGGCGAAGGCCTCGCGGGACACGTTCTCGAGCTTGTTATCCACTAATCTCAATCCATAGAGCTCATTCAGACCAGCAAATGACTCGTTATCAATTCTAGAGACCTGATTGTTCCCAAGATCGAGAGTATTGAGCGATCTGAGCTCGCGCACTGCCTCGGGCACGTCCATAAGAGAATTCCCGCTCAGTGAGAGATCTCGGAGATCGGTAAGATTGGCGAATGCACGTGGATGAACGACGCGAAGATTATTGCTGTCCAGAAACAATTGTCCTAGAGCACCCAGGCCCATTGTATGGGTCGGGTCCAACCTGGAAATCTTGTTGTGCGACAGCGTCAGCGAATGAAGATTTCTCAGCGAGCCAAAACAACCGTCGCTCAACGTGTCAATCTCGTTGTGCTCGAGCTTGAGCACCTGAAGGCTGAACAATCCCTTGAAGACGTGAGAGTCGATACGCGTCAGCGCGTTGAAGGACAGATCGAGCACGACCAGTCTGACCAATCTTGTAAAAGTGTCGCGGTTAACCCAGCGACTGCTGAGCTTGTTGGAGCTCAGATCCAGCACTTGCAGCTGTTCCAGACCCTCGAGCAAACCGGGAGCGAGCACGGAGAGCGAGTTGTTGCTGAGTATCAATTCGCGCAGATCCCTGGTCTTGGCGAACAGCTCGGGCGGCAGTGCCACCAATCTGTTGCTGGAAACGTTGAGCGATTGAAGGGCTCCCAGTCCTGCCAAAGCATGATCACCCACGGCAGCTATAGCGTTGTCCTGTAACTTGAGCATGGTCAAACTGCGCAGACCGCTCAGTGCACGATCGGGTAACGCTCCGAGATCGTTGCTGCTTACATCGAGAGTCTCGAGATTCGGGGTGCAGGGTGTGCTCCAATCAGCAAGACCAAGGGACACCACGTCCTGTAACTTGTTGCGCGTCAGATTCAGACTGGCCAGACTCTGAACGGGACACAGCAATTCCTGGGGCAGCGTCCAGAGGTTGTTATCGGCAAGATCGAGATATCGCAATTCGGACAGTCCACGTAGCGCGTCTCTATGCAGTTCCAAGGTCATGGCCGACCAATCGCTGTTGTGCGTCCTCAGCGACAACTTCCTGAGATTGTTGACCGACGCGAAAATTCCACCGGGCAGGTGACGTATCTTGCAGTAATCCACACGGAGCTTCTGGAGCTTCGGCAAGGGCGCTAGGAATCCATTCGGTGCCAATTGACTCTCGAAGAAGAGCACGTCGCTGCATTCCAGTCCGAGGGACGTTATGGAATCCGCTTGGATGCTGGATAGATTGCCGACCAGCGATGGTGCGTTCGCGATAGTTCTCAATCGGCAGACCAGCGACTTGTCGTCGGCCTCTTTCTTCCATTCGCATCCTCGCGGAGCCTCCAATGTTGTTATACTTCGAGAATTTACGTTCCCGGCGACGAGCAGCATCGCCAGGACAAGGGCTAAGGTACCACCGTAGGACTCCATCCCGACTGTCAAGATCTTCACCGGACCAGGTTATCGCACCAATTGACATTAACCGGTATACTCCTTGCGTCACGCACTCATAGTAAGTCTTCGCACCACCGTCAGGCTCGACGCACTCTCGTCACGATCGAATAAACCCGCTTTCAATAAATCGCACTTACGACACAATACAAAACGCAACAACAACTGAACTCGACAGATATCCGAATCACAAAGTAAAATATGTATTAAATTCCAACCGAAGGTCTCGGTCGTACGATTTTTGAAAATTATTCCGAAACTCTTCTTCACTCTCACTGCAAAGTCATCTGTTGTATCGCTCTAACGTATCTTTTAAGTTCAAGTGTTACTGGCTCTCCAGCAGACGCGTGATACAACGACGACCTAAGGGAGCGAACAACATTCTCCCGCAAAGCTCGGAGCGCGACTGACTGACCGATCGGTTCCGAATTCTGTCGACGGTCTCGCACCCGTTTGTGTCTGGCGGCGTGGCTGCGCTCCTCAAACTCTCCTCTCCGGGAACTACCGTCCCCACTCCGACTCCTTGAGCTTCCCCCACCAATCAGGCATGTGCACTTTCCCCCCGCCCTTTTAACAATGACCACGTGACTGTACCGGCAACGCCAGACTGCAGACTGCACCGGACGCCAGACCGGAGATGCAACAACCCGCTTGACTGACAACGCTACTTTACTTTTGCCTGGGACCAATGACAATCTGGTATGAACTTAATTTTTAGGAGTCACGCGGGTGCGTATTATACAAACGCACCGTCTCTGACGATTAACTTTTTCTATCTAGGTAACCATTATACATTGCGGCTTTCTTTTGACTTCGTACTTTCATCCTGCTCGTTTCCAGGATTCTACGTATTATGCATGAATGAACTCGATAACACGCGTGCGCCGTTTTCAAATCGCTACTACCACCTTTACGGTGGGTAGGTACGTTAATGGTACGTTATTGAGAAAGGATGTTCTCTGTAGACGCTTTGACAGCCGCCGCTGTTAGAAGGAAAGAAAATATATATATATATATATTTTGGTGATTTCATGAGAAAATTGTCAGTTGTCTGACGTTGGGTTTATGGCGGATGTTTGTACTGTGCTTTTAGTTACTCTCTTTCGGAGAATATCCAGTTGAACGGGACATTGGAATTGAAGGATTATGTATTTACTAAGAGGACTTACGTAATTTGGAGGTGAGCAAGAGCAAGTTTGATTATAGAGGAATTTCTGGCGTTTCGCTTGAATTTATTCACCGGTTCGACTTATCACCTTTTCCTTGATTTGTGAAATGTACGTTCGTAGAAATTTCTCGCTGCCACACGCGTCTCTACAGCGAGAGCAAAGAATGCCCAGTACGGTAAGACCCGATCTAGGCCCGGTAATATTCCGTTGAGACGCTAAGACGCCTGGCGCCATCTACAAACTGATGTCTATACTATTCATAGTTCTTTTGATAATCCTCTGTTCCGTTACCAACGAACGACTTATCAAGTTTAAAATCACGCTCCTTGTTGCCATGAAGATCTAAGAACGCGCAATAACTTATATTTTTACTAAAAAAAAATTCCATTCCCCCCCAAAAAAATTAACCTTTTGCAATTTCCGAAAAACTACTTCAAGTACATTAAGCAATGAACACTCTATAAAAAATAAAACTCATTACACCAGCAAGCGAGAAAAAAAAGGTGCATCCTCCACCGCAATCAAGGTACCCATACCCATAAATAAATAATATTTTCAAAATCCAATAACCAATTTAAAAAATAAAAAATCCCGTCGTCACAGCTACGATGGTTCCGCCATAGAATGAACAGACCCCAGTAAACGTTAACGTTCGCGTGAATTAAATTTTGACATACAGTAATTTTAACACGGATCTCCATTCACTGACGTAATTCCGGTGTTCGTTTACCTGTGGATTTAGCCCAGCATAATAAGAGCATATCTATTTACTGCCTATGCCCGACACTCGGATTTACATAAATCGCAAAAATAAGGTCGTTGGCACAGTATTCCCTTGGCTGGGGAATTACAGCGAAGAGTCCTTGCTCGCCCTCGACTCTCACCTCCTTACAGACCTTATAGTCCTCCTACCCTCGCCGCCCCTTTCCCCTCCTCAGACCACGTCGCTCCGATCCACACCCTCTCCGCGCGTCTTGAAGGGATGAAGGAATAAAAATGTAAAGGCGGCGCTGTCGTTCACACAGACATCGCACACATACTTGTGGTCGCGCAACTTAATCGATGGGATCTAAAACTGAGGAGGTTAACGAAGGTTAAATGTTAATCGTCGGTCCATCTCCTTATTTTTGGTCTTCTAACCACGTTCCCTCGATCCGCCGTAATACTTTTTCTCTCTCGTTCCTGTACCTTCTCCTGATCTCTCTCGCTCTCTCGATTTCTCACGATTGGTCGAGGAACGAGGGATTCGATTATACATGAATTATTAATAAAGCAACCGGTAAGTACGCCGACATAACCTCGCATCTATACCGTTGCACCATGGCACACGGGCACGGCGCATACTCGAATATATATTTAAGCTTCTATTTACTTACCTCTCTCTCTTTCTCTATCTCCCTCCTGACTTACGTCTTCGTAACCTTTTTTTTTTCTACGTCTCCATAGACTCTCGTATGCGATGTACTTAATTACATGTTTACGAGTTGTCGACATAAATTCACTTTTTGATCGTCTCGTACCGCTGAATAACCATCGCCTGAATTCTTTGCTCTGTTGCCTTGTTATCCATCTTTGTCTGATTATCTACAATTTTATATGTACATATTTCTCTCTCCTTCGCGTTCCACCCCGTATCCGCTTCACGACAAAAAATAATTTGTCAGTACAGATTTTTAATCGATAGTATTTTTCACGCGAATAATAGACTGACAGTAAAAATCATTGTTCACCCCGCAATAAGAAATAACGATACTTTATTACTTAGAGTGCGTTCCACAATAGTCACATAAAGTCCACGACGATTCCTGAGGAAAATTTTGAATCTAAACTTTTTCGCATAACCCACACGCGACGTCTAGGCGTATAAAAGAATCGGTATTGTAAGCCACGTACCTGGTTTCGCGGTCATCGCGAACGCAGCGTTGGCAACCGGAGAGCATAAGATTGCACGAGGAAGCGTAGAAGGCGCCGTCGTAGGTTATAACACGTATAGATATACATATGGTTGGGAGGAACGTGCGAGAGTGGTGACGTCATACAGAGCGGTAAAAGTGGTAAGAGGTATAAGAAACGTGGAACAGCAGCTTACGAGGAAGGCGGTCTACAGGCGGAGCTTTCGCGTTTTAAGGACCTCCCTGAGAAATTCACCTTTACCTTCTACCACGTGGTACGCGTATGCATATACATATATAAATTATCACACACAGGTATCGCGCGTGCATAACCTCACGAGTATAACGCACACCCGTCACGAAACACAGCACCAAAACCACCGGCAGAAGAGACCAGCTGTACGCGTTTAAATTACTGGTCTGTTTACGAGTGCCTGAACCGCCATGGCGGCCTACGGCTATTGCACCTTTTACGTCATTACCGCGAGTTTATTAGTAGCTGCGTCGGTAAGTTACCCACAGTTCGATCTAGCCAGCACGTTGCAGTAGTACGCATAGAGAAACAGTCGTGAGAAAGGCGTTTTGTTTAGTAGACGAAAGAAATGCTGAGTTATTATAAAAGTCGAGTGTGCCTAAAGGAAAGGATTTCGTGCGACAGATACGTTCTTGTCTGTCTGGTATGTATTAATGTTGTTTCAAAGATACGTTGTTTTGTCAGGATTATTTCTTCCCGATCCGCTTAATCTCATTCGGTCGGTATATACTTTGATTCCTTTAGAGACTTCTTCATCGACTTTATTAGGTTTGGTTGCCATACCGAGCTGCGTTGATAGTCTCCCGATCGTACGTGAAGGCTCGTAAACGATCTTGTTCCATGCAGCTGTTTCGGTATCTATTTATGTCACGTGCGATTAGCAATCTCCACACGGAAGATTGTCAGCTCGTCACCAACCGTTGAACATATCGGATTGCGGATCCATTTCAACGGATCTTGGTGGATAAAGCCTTTTTCTTTTATTTCATTTGTAATATTTGCCTGCTTATGAGTTATGGATTACCTTTTGTCATCTTCTCTGTAGGGAAACTTGGATTGACGTAGGTACCCGTTGTATAGTTTGTTATGTGTACATGTAGCTTAGTTAAAATGGCGGATTATGCAGAATAGTTGTAACAAGGCTGTGCCTTTACGTGTCACGTGATATCGCGTTTCTTTTATATTGTTTTTTTAATTTTGTTACGATAACTAAGTAAATTTTCACGTCCGTGGCATGCGCATGCGTGCGTACGTGTTTGACCGAGGCTTTATTTTTTTACATTAATGCATTGTTACGCGGAGAATTTTTTTTAAATTGTGTTTTACATTCGAGACGATGGGTGGTGATTCATTCTTGATTAACTACTTTTGAAAATAGTACAGTGGCGACTGATGATTCATGTTGACCGTCGGTTAGGAACTATTTTAATGTAAATTTATAATGACAGAAAATAGGAAACCAAGCTAACGTGGGAGTGTTTTATGGTCCAAGTTAAACAACGAATGCGAAACGAGCGTTAATAAGATCCATTCTTATTTAAATGTACACGGAAAATCTATTGGTTTAGGGGTAGCTTTCTGGCATGTCCTTTTTCGATCTTTTAAATAGAAAAAAAAAGTCAAATCAGAACGGTTAATTCGAAATGGTCTAAAAGGTCCGCCATCTTGCTTCTATCGTCCTCGGGCAGATCTCTTCTGAAAAATAAAATATATCAAGCAAATCTCGTACCTCATAACCAAGGCCTACGAGCCCGCTGAGAAGGTACAAGGTATCCCGCGGTTCCTCAGGGTGAAACGCACCGCGAGCAGCACGCCGAACGTGTCAAAATAGTCATAAAACAAGCGCTTTCTTTCGCACCCCTGTGGCGCAACCCTGAGTGACGTTTTAAAAACCGCCCGAGGAAGCCTCAACGCGCGCATACACGAGAGCGATTTCAAAAGTTCTACCTGGCGGCGCGCCAGGTTTCGACATAACCTCAAACCTGAACTGAACGAAGTACCCATTAAAACCGGTCGCTTCTTTTTAGGCAAAGAGAACGAGCATGGTACGAACTGATCAGCGTCTTCATTGGTGCCGACTTTAACGAGAGTCCACATGCTGGCGTACTAAGGGATTGAAAAGTGCTAAAGGAAAATTAGTCCGCTGCAAGAGAAATGAGTCTCGTTAAAATCATCAGAGAATCCCCTAATCAGTCTCGATGGGTTAACCGACAAAATTGTAAGTACAATCGTTTTGTTTATTTCGTATATATTTTTATTGATGCAAAATATATGAATTTTTCTATACTTTCACGTACTTTGACTTAGGTAGCCAGTTATGTTACGTGGCACTGTTTTGTGTACCTACGCACTCTACGCAATGTCTTTCCTCCCACTGGATAATCTCTTTGCTACGATCGGGACTCTTTGCTCGTGGAAGACTATTAACTGCGCAAGACGGGACTATCTGCCGGACGGTTGACGACGTGAATGTGCCTGATATGCCACCCGATAGAATGGAAGGACTGTGGATAATAGATGGACACGGGACCCAGGCTCTCCGATGGGAATGCTACGATACAAAAGGTAGGTGCGCCAAGGTCCCTCGACCTTAACATTACCAATTTCGATCTTTATAATACCGGCAGTACATTCTCGTGATTTGATACTTGAAATTTTTTTCCTTTAAATATTCATTTTTATATATGAAATTGCTGTTGTGTGCATCATCCGAATCATTTGAACCATCAAAATTATGACCGAACGGATTTCTATGGATAATCTAGCTTTACTATGGTTTAAGTTTTAATTTTTTTTTTTTTAAATATGATTTAAGGTTAGTGTGCTGAATTTAAAAGTACCTGACGCGTACTTGACCCGTCACTGGTTTTCGTCCTCATCTCCACCACCAAGCATTGTTTATTAATGTTTCCTGATTATGCAAGATAATGAAATGAAGGAACTTGAGAAAGTAATCGGCTGTTTTATCATCAGACAATTATCATTGTCCAAACAGTTGAAGGATGCTTCAATTGCTATTTTAATATTAAGTGTGACATCTGTAGTAGGGAATTATTACCACAAGGACTAGCATCGTAGCCACAATGTCCCTGAAGACGACAATGGCCGCCATGTGGCAGGTTGTTTCGCGGTGGTTTGAATGAGGCTGATTAGATCGAAGGGTACTTCAGAGAAAAAGGGAACAGGGCCTGCGTTTTACACTGAAGGGTTGTTACGTGGCCTGTACCATACGAGTGAACGCTGCACGACACTCGCCAAAATGGGGGTTGCTCGGCAGTTCAAGGGGGCGTAAACTCTTCCGTTCTTCCCCACCTTGATAAAAGGGGTGAAAAGAGGGACCTGGCTGGGGGGAGGCAGATGCACCGATATTGTCCTGAACCACCGTATGTCAGAGGCTCATGCAGATCAGACCGTCCGTAATACCCTTAATGCGACAAGCAAACACCCTACTGTAAGGGCTGTGGGCCATCTAGAGAAGCCGCTTAAGCAACGAAATCTCTGGGGACTTTTGCCTACCCCCTTTTAGACTTTAATACTAATCGTGCATTACGTTCTTCGAAGGAAGTACCGCGTGCTTACGACAAGATCTGGAAATTTGGAGGAAAAAAAAAATTGATCGACCCAAGGCAACAGTGAGTCGTGTGAATTTTCCAAGCTATTTTGAAATTCAAATAAATCCAACGATCGAAAGAGACGGACAATCTTTTGGGTAAATCTTGGAAAACCACAAAAATCTATTATGCCGTTCATCCTGAATGAAACCACCACTTGGATATTTACCAGGAGTCAGCCCCAGGCGAGTATAATACGTTCACCGCAATATTTTGACAATATCCCTCACGCTGCCAGGACTAACCTGGGGTAAATTCGTGGTCAGGATCCTTCGAGGACACTGAATCCTTCGATACAGTCAGATATGTGTATGGATACACGCGTCCGCATGCGCCACACTCGTCCTTCCACCTGGACCCAAGAGAAGTGGCCAGTCCTTTTGGTATTGTCCAAGATCCTTACAACATCAGGTATCATGAGTATTGGTATCGGCATCACAATGCATCCTGACCAAATGTCTCCTCACTGTGAGATTCCTTCCTTCCACTGCCAACCTACCTACCCAAACTTACCTTCCTCTACCTGTCTCTGCCACAATGGCTTGTTGCCGTTGTTTATGTAATCCTATTATTCTGCATTGTCCCGCCTAAGAAACACTTTCAGCGACTCTCATTCGCCTTTTTTTCTGATCCATGATCAGAAGGACTTTTTCCTTATTGTTTTCCATTGCCTCATATAACACCACTTGCTTCTAGTTATTTTTTACAGTGCGGTGCAATGGTACTAGGGACAACCTCAGATGAAAACTCATGGCACAGTATCACCTCCTATCACTATTTGCTGTTGTTTTGTAATTTACAAGGAATCTTACAGAAAACAATTGTATACTGTGAAATAGTAATGGTGCAGTGTCTTATGAAAGTTATCAAATGAGAAATGCATCGGTTCAGTTGTCAGATTGTTTTTGAAATGTTCACTTGGAAAAATGTATGAGAGTCACTGAAAGCGTGGAGTCAGGTATACCCGGGAAAATACATAAATGGTTTCCCACAGAAATGCAGAAGTCTGACGGTTGACATCAGTGGGGTGCACGCTTCTCCATTGTTGACTCATTGTTGGCAATTTCTTCTTCTCCCTTTACATTGGTCTATCTGGTACTATCTTCTGGATTCACCATGAGTCCTCAGGTCTTTGGACCCTTAGATCCCTACGAGCTCCCATTCACTGGGTTCCATCCAAGGAATAATGGCCGTGCAAAAAAAGGTAAAGCGTTTTGCTATTTCAAGTCAATATTTGAAGTTTGTGTTTTGTCGCCTTGCGGTTTGCATCCCTGTCTCTGTAACGAATCCTTGCATATTTTTAGCTCAGCCGTACCGCATGCTTCTCTGGTCTGAGTGTATCTATCCGACATTGAGAACACCTTTCATTGCGGTAGGACAAGGTCGGAGCAGGATGCTACGAAGAACATGACTTCCAGACGGGCAAAAACGCATCGATCGTGTTCCTCGAAGATCCTCCTGCAGTGATCATGGATTCACTGGCTGTATCCTGCTGATCCTATAGATCCTATAGATCCTGTACATTATACGTATGCAGTATAGACACCGTTCACGATCCACGATGAAGACCACACGGGCTACGTTATTTCAGGGAGACAATAATGATGACAGAGAATTTATCTTCTTTGTAAATCTATACAGATAAATTATAGGTTATCGTCGGACTTGCTTGTATAACGCGTTATCTGGTTGTACAGGGTTATCCAGCTTAAAGGGATAGTCCAGTTTCGAGAAATGTCGTACGAGCGTTTTGTTTGTACAAAAAGTTGACAGTACAGTTTTATATTTTACACTAGTACGATAGATACAATATTTTGTTATTGTCTCGCTGCTGCGTTCAGATTGTTTTCATTTAGTTAATAACTTTCTCAAGTTTATCATATTGTCTGTACAAGATTTTTTGTGAACAACCCTTTATGGGAGCTTTTTATGAGCGTAATGCGTTTGCTACAGTCACGCTTGGAAGTGACAGACCCTTATCTGACATCAGGACTAAGGGCGGGTTTTCCAAGCGCGACATAAGTCGCTTGCGATCAGTTTCATTCACTGTCATGACATTATTGATCATCCTGTGCCTCTTCGAAACGGACGATGAGTCAGTTAGCGAATCTTTGAAGTAAAATTGAAATACGATGCTGTTGTCACGTGCATTTTATGTCAAGAAATTTAAAGCCGTCGATTTAATTAATTTATATACAAAACTTACGTTTTAGTCGGCGCCGGTTTGACTGTTGAATTTTCAAAAAGTCTGCTAAAAACTGTAGGGTTCCAGTGTCACGTTAATAGGCTTAACTCGAAACAATTACGTTTATCTGTTATCAAAATGGGGCTTGGAAATCCATTATGTGTCTGGCTCAGTGTCAGCCCTTCTGGTTGGTATTGATCACGTGCCTTTACGTATCGTGAAATTCGCAATTGCCAATTTGCAATAGATAGGGATTCTAATGATTGTTATAGACTAAGTATTAAGCAGTTTAGACGAAAAACAAGCGAATTCTAATGAAGAGACAATTTTGAATATGTCAAATCTAAGTAACATATAAATTATATGAATTATCGTTTTCATGTAAAATATTGGATTTTTGACGTGTAATCTTATCAGAATGCAATACAAGTTTTCTGGCTTTGCAGATCTAATGTGCAGTATAACAAATGCTACATAAATTTCGAATTCCATCAAGATACATATCCTACCACCCTGGTACTGGCGGTGGCTTGCTTATCGCGCGTTTCCATTCCCTTCTCATCCCTGCTTGAACATTTCTTGTCAAAGATTATAGCAAAAATACTTTTAGGATCATTTCGCATCCCGTCAGTAGTAGAAAAAAAATGTATATATCGAATAAGCATTCTTGCATCTATGGCTCTATTAGAAATTACAGATGCAACCCTATAGAAATAACCGCCTGACAGTGTTTAAGCGGCGTGACGTAAAGTGCATCAGATAAAAGGAAATGAGTATCCGCAGAACAAATTGTCAGAGAAATGATTTTAAATTTAAAATTATCAAGGGACGTCCGCGCAAAGGGTAGCTACTTCGGAATCTCTATCGACGAGTCAATCGAACCACGTAATTAATCCCTTAAAAAGGGGGACGGATGGCTCGCCCGGAAATTGTCAGAGATAGCGAATATAACCTAAGTGCGTGCACAAAGTAGCCATTGGGCTGCGGAGGGGTTAGGAATCGTAAATAAATCGACAAATAGTAACCAAGTAAATATACGGGGTTGAAAATCGGCAAGGGTGGTTTGCCAAAGGGGTCAGGCCAATTTAATGACCAATGGCTGTTTATTCTTCATGGGAAATAACAGCTGACTCGCAATCCGAGAACTCGGAATCATAGGAGTCCGCGTACACTTGCGATCGAACCCTATGGCATGTGGACGGTAGTTAAGGTATACCTATATGGTCAGTGGCAAAATCCTTCATTTCGACCATCCCCTAAATACTATCAGGTGCAGGGGCGGCTCCTCCCGTAAAGAGAAAGCAGCGTACTTAAGGGTTTACAGTAAATGCTGACAATAAATATTCGGTTTTTCAGATTTAAGAGATTTAACAATTTTTCGAAAAAAAAAAAAAAGCTTTTCTACAGGATTCAAGTAAAGGCGATTTAACGCTTAACTTTTGACGTTGTTTTTCTGCCTTTTTCACCTAATCTTTTTTCTTCTGCCACTACAAAAATGACTTTTCACGGATACAGAAACCCACTGCCAAATCCTTTCTTCGTTGTCAACGGTTGAGATTCCTTGAAAGAGCCAGGATTAAATCCCATTCCCGTTAACTCCTTTCTTCGGAGAAATTTTCCTGGCGCTTTGGCGGATTTCCTGATTTTCGACTTTTCACCGACTTGCTCGGTACTCCTTTTCAAAATTCTTATTCTAGCGGAACCGCCGGATTACTTGAATTTCAACATTCACCTGCACTTCCCCCTTCACTCCCATAAGACTTGGGCCGCATTTTGAGAAATCAGCTGAGTAATACATCTGGAACGTCGACAATTAACACCCCTCTTATGAAACATGATCGAGTAATCAGATTATAGGCCGGACACAATTAAGCAATTAGTTGAGGTCTAGACGTTACATCATGACGTTTCGTGTGAACGTAGCTTTAAGCGATTTTTCTGTTCACGTACGAGATACCCGAGACACGATAGGATATTACATACGATATGGACGTTATTAACTAAAATTATTTTTTTTTAATTAGCAATAGGTACTTTTTACAAGTAAACATTTTTCGGATTTTAACGAGCCGCTGCGGGTCAAAAATTAAAATAATAACAGTTCTTTGTGGTGGTTTTCTTTTCCAGATATTTTTATTCAATACAACGTATTACAAAGAGGATCATTGTCTTACTATTTTTGGGTCGCTTAAAAAAATACGTTAGAGCGAATCCATAGTTGCCAACCTACTTGAACAAAAAGAACTAGAGCGATCCGCGAATTCCTATCAAAAAGGGCGCGCCAGTATGAAAACTCTAACACTGTGTTTGGAAAAAAAGATCCTATAATTTTCAACAACAAAAATCGTGAATGATAAAATTTTTTTTTTTTTTTTTCTTTATTCAGAAACATCCAACAACATTTTCTAATTGAACCGAATTGAACGTACCCATGAACCTGTTAGACAGTTTCACTGTAATTAAGACTCAAATGGACTACCAATTTCCCACTGACTATTACTTCCCATTTGTGCAATGAACGAGCACTTAACCCTAATTAGAAAGTGGTAATGGCTACAAGCACGTCGCTTTAAAAGTAACGTTACAAGGGGTAGAACGCAGCGAAGAAAGTAATTTAATTTTCTTCAACAATAAATACGAGGAAAACCTTACCGAATCGTGGTAATTAGCAATAATTAAGTACAGATCCGGGATGATTGTGAATTCATAGATATTCATGGAGGGACTCAAAAAAAAAATTTCAAAATGAAAAATTCAAAGTGGTATAAAAATAGATCCTGCAATGTAAGATTAAGGAGAAAGAAATAAAAAAAAGATAAAAAAATAACATTGGCACAGACTGCATAAGGCAACGTTAATCCCCGTCATGAATTATCCGACGTGTTCGGCATTAGATTTGCCCCATGCGGTGACGAATCAGCCTTTATGAAATGCCCCCAAAATTTTTTTTTCTCTTTTCGTTACATCCCTCCCACTACGTCAGCCTGTCCCATTGAGACTTACGGGACATGGCAGTACGACCATTTGATTTTCGTGTGTGGCTCCGTGACACGTTTTCATATGAGCAACTTTTTATTTCAGACTCTTGACAAAAGCCATACACCCTGCCGTACGCCCTAACCCATCGTGTCTGTTGATTCAAAAATTGAATTTCAAAAAAAAAAAAAATCACTAACGCGACAGCAACATACTGGATTGATCGATCGCCACAGCCAATACCAACTGATCGATCACCGATCGCACCGTAAATTCTACAAAATAAGATTTTTTATCGCAGATAAGTCCATTAGTGAAAAATTGCATTTTATATGCAATTACCTCAAATTCTTTATCTGCATTCTCCGTGGGTATACATGCAGCACAGAGTGCAGCTGTATAATCAACGACTATCGTAATTGCCATTTCGCGTATATAAATAAGGAGGGTGCATCATTTTTCTGCAAGTGCATATCGTCCCGTTGCATCGTGGATGCAACCGCGTCCACGTGATCGCAAATGCATCGAAATAATTTTAGCCGGCGTGAAAATTAATTTTTTAAAAAGCGCACTCAAAGAAGCTCGTCCTTATTTTATTATTATTCCGAAATTCACGTCATGCACCTCGGGTATTGCCTAAACTATTATCAACCCCCCTATATGTCGTACAGTTCATATTTCATGCCTCGCAGACTCGTTCGCCATAACATAAATCTTGACACCCTTGCTATATAGTAAGTACTTGCTGTTATTTTTCCCCCCTTTTTATTCTCTGCTTTTTTCTTCCCTTTTTTATTTTTTTTTTTTTAATACTCTTGTTGTGGACAGACACTAGATATTTCTAGCGACTCCATGTTACGTGGCTTAGTTGTAGAGCTGCTTTTCAGGTTTTTTTTACACGTCTTTGCAATGTCTGGGATGTTGCATATTGCAAATAAATTTTGCATGATTTTTCAAAAAAGAAAGAAAAAAAATGAATCGCACGATTTTGACACTTCATATTCCATTGATATCTATGGTGGTATATATATATATATATATATATATATATATATATATATATATAGTGAAAACATCGAAAAAAAGCTCTTTTCTCTGTAGGTCAATTAAGATATAGATGAATTCACCATATATTTTGCCAGTAACGTGGAAAATAAGTATTAATGGCAGTTCACCTACCCCCCCCCCCCCC